GGTGTCCTCTTCATATTCTTCATATTCGTCCTTGACTTTTTTATTTACGGAAATGTCGACGGTTGGTTGGGTAAAGGAAAGTCGCTCAAATAAAGCCGACAGGAAATTCATATTTTTTTTATCGAGTGAAGAGGAAACAGTAAAAAAAAAAAAAAAGCTCAGATATTACTGATTTGTACGATAATATGATAGAAAGGTGGCTTTTTTTTCCAAATACGGGATTAAATATTAATCATTTCGTTCACACGTTAGTAAACGGTCGTGGTTTTAAAGTTTCCCCTGCCACAAATGATCAATCGTGTTGGTGTTCCCGACAGCAAAAATTATAGGTTGTGGCTTGTTCGCTCAATCGCGATCGTACTTTATCAATCCCTACATTGCAATACGGCAAATGGACACAAGAGTATACACACAAAGAATCCGAATTTCAAAATTATATCGTTTTCCCGCCAAACATTTTACGCCTTCATGTGACTATTTAGATATTGTGTGAAGATAATGTGCTTTTTATCATATGGAATATGTCCATCTTGGGCATAAGGAGGTAGCATAAATATCTGGCAATACAATATCTTCCTGTAAAGTTTTAGAAGTCTGAAAGAAACCATTTATAAAGATGTAAATGATCATTCGATTGCTTGCGTCAACATCGTTTCAATTTTTACGCCCGATTTCCTTAATCTTTCTCCTGCGCGTTTTAAGTAAGGACACTGTCTTCCATTGCTGTGCCGGATTGGACCAGTGCAACACGTGGGCTTGTTTCTCCAATTTGTTAATGCCTCATCCTCAGTTGACATGTTATGGGAAACAACCGACGCACATGATGAGTTACGCATATGCAATTTCGTAATTTCATTATGTATGAACATTTCAAAAAGAAATTAACGTGATGTTGAAATAATGGGTGCTCAGTCCGGTGAGAAGCATTCGCGAAATCATGTTCAGTGAAATATCCCGAAGGCGTGAAACAACCGACGACAAAGGTCTGCACAGCACGGTAGAAAGGACGCCGGTCGTAATTCTGGTGAATTGGTAAATTTGGATTGCGGCAAAAACACGTCGCAAATCGAATCAAGCAAATATCTGTTCGCGCGGATGCAATTTATATATAGTTTTTTTTCGCCATACTGGAATCTGAGGCTTCAGCATATTTACGCGTCTGTTGCCTGTGTCAATTGTCATATCACCGGGATCTGTGCTGATGGTTTATCAGAGAATCGGTCAAAATATAAATAAATGTGGCAAAGCAGAATCGAATAGCGTGAGAAATTATCTTTGTGATTAAACGCCCCACGGAAGTATAATACTGGCTAAATGTCCAAGCCAGATGACGCTCTATCCCATACACATTCTATATTAGTATAGAAACGTTTTTTTTAGACGTACTAAATGAGTATCTTGTTGATGAAACAATTAAATTGGCCAATCATAATCAAACACATTCCTGATTCCAACAAAGGCACCGCAGTAACATACAAACATCATAAAAGAGACGAACCAATGAGAATCGAACACATTACTGAGTCTGCGCTTATTCACCTTTTTTGTACAGTTTGAAACTGTTCAATGATTCGCCCAAGATAAAAAGCTCCACCCGGTTGCAGCTTTTTTTTTTTCCTTAACTTTTCTTTTCCTCCATCTTCTGATTACAACAAAATATAATAGGATTTTGCTTTTTTTTTTTACTTATATTAAAATTTAATAGAACTGGCATCAAACTGTATTCATAAAAAAGGAACACTTTCATAGGGTCACCATGTCCTCCACAACGTCGCCAAGTGAATATAAAAGTTCGGCAAACCATTCAACTACCACAACCACCACAACGACGGCGTGGGGCGAAGGCATGGTGACCTCAGATCTAAGAACAGACACAGGCATTTCGCAATTGTTAGAAGGTTCACCACTCATCTATACTCCTACGTTGTCATCTACTGGAACTTCACCGGAATTAAGGGATACCTTAGAGACAGATGACGATGGCTTATTCCTAGGAGATTATATTAGTATAGAAGAATTGCGCAAAATTGCCTCAGATAATGAATGCATTCTCTCTGCCACAACAAATAATTCTCCGACGCTACCAATAATGACCCCAATAACACCGATGAAGCCAATTGCACCAGCATTATTTAGTCCCATATCCGCCATATCTTCTGGTGTCATAAGTGATTCTCAAGATAAATCAACCTCTCCTGCACCTGTTGCTTCTGAAGAAAAAAAGAAATCGGCAGGCGGACGCAAGAGGAAAGCGGAAAGCTTGGAAGAAAAGGAACAAAGACAACGTGAGAGGTGGGTAGTTTTGATCTATAATAAATAATATATATTGGAGGATTTTCTTTGCATTGCTTTTTGCGCACGAGTCATGATCTGACGGTTACCATCGTTTTCTTGCGTAGAATATTAAGAAATCGTCACGCAGCTCAAATGTCTCGGGACAAGAAACGAAGGCAAATGGCTGATTTGGAGTCACAAAATGTTGTTCTCAAGGAAGAAAATGCACACCTTTCCAAGCGGCTAAAAGTCGTGGAAGAAGAGAATGCGATCTTATCCAATAGACTTGAAACGATTTCGGCACAACTCGCTGAAATTCAGTCACACCTAGCTGTATCCGAGATGACTAAAGTCCTACTTGACGGTGTTCGCGGATCTGCAGTATCCGCGGCCTCGGAAGGCGACTCTTTAATGATAACCGATGAGAAGGAAGAAAATCAGAAAGAGGAAAAAAATTCACCTGATAATGAACAACCTTCTTCCATCACCACAATAAGAGAAACGTCCGAGAAGTCCCAGCAGCGGCACGTCAAGATGAGGAACCTTTACGGGACGTCGTTAACCCCTACCTTTCCGATTTGGATGTATCCACCACAAATGCTGAAACAACTATTGTTGACCTTCTCGATAGTTTTTTGGACTACGACTGGTCAGCA